AAATAATCAGAGTTTAACTTTAAGTTATATTTTCATCTACATTCTTGTAGTCATTGTGTTCACTGTTCTTTTGATTTGTTTCTTTCGCTGTATCTGTGCATGTACATCTTCCCAATTTTTCTGAATTTCTCATTTTATCATTTATTATGACACAATAATATTCCTATATTACCATTTTCCAGTCATTTCCCAATCAATGAAATACACTTCATTTCTAGTTGTTTGTTACCACAAAGAATAATGTTAATATTTATATAAGAACTTTGTTTCTGATCTTAACCTCCTTGGGGTACATGTTGAATAGTGACATCACTAGATTAAAAGGTATTAACAGCTTAATCACTTTTCTAGTGTAATTCTGAAAGGATAACCAGAATGTTTAGACCAACGAATATCTCTACCAACAGTGCATTACTGTGCCTGTCTTTTCATAGCCCCTTCAATACTGACTATTTTTAGTTTACTTTATTTTTTCCATGTTTGCCAATGTGCAAGGATTGGGGAGATTAAAAACTCAGTTATTTTTATTTTTATTTCTTTTTGTGTTAGTGGTTTATTTCCACGTGTTTCCAAACTTTCATTTATAGTTTGCAGTTCTTCTTTGGGAAACTTTTTGTTCATATCCTTTGACCTCTTAAATGTTGGGGATATCTTGTCTCTTCAGGGTTACTGTTAGTAATTTAGTCCAGACCCATGATTTCATTTTTGTAGGGGATTTCCCAGGAAGAAACTCTCTCTACTAGTATAAATCTTCCACTGTCCAGCAACTGGAGTCTTAGAAAGTTTCCCAGAGCTTTGAGAAATTAAGTAACTTGCCCAGGGTTGCATATTTAGTCTGTGGTAGAACTTCAACCTGCTACCTCTTACTGTTTCTTAAACTGGTTCTCTCTATTACTCCAGTGGACTACCTCTCACACTATGTATTCACAATTTATGGAAGGTATTTTGTGAATCTGTAGGATTGGGCAGCTAGGTGGCACAGTCCATAGAGTGCTGGTCTTGGAGTCAATATGACCTGAGTTCAAATCTGACCTCAGACACTCACTAGCTGTGTGACCCTGGTCACATCACTTAATCCTGTTTGCCTTAGTTCCTCAGCTGTAAAATAAGTTGAAGAAGGAAATGGCAAACCACTCCGGTGTCTCTGCTAAGAAAATCCCAAATAGGATCATGAAGAGTTTGACATGAATGAAATGATGGAACAACAACAAAGGATGGTACCTAACTAGAAATCTTCTGCATGGTCCACAACCTTCCTAATATGCATTAAATTTTTATCTTCCTCTCTCAAACGAAATGGCTATTACTAGGGATCTTACCATCAAAAGTTGTATTGTCCCTGCTGAAAAGACCCCATGGTAAAGAGAGAAATGGCCTCCATACGATTTGGGTGACAAAACGCATCCATGGAGTCATAAAGTTAAGGGCATTCCTCACACTCTGTTGGACAAGAGTAGGTTGAGAACATTTTGATGTCTGTAAACTTTTTCTCCAAATCCATGTACTCTAGAGTCTTTAACAGGAAAGCTGGAGGGTTACTTTTTTTTCTGTTGTTAAAGAATCACCTTCTAAATATTATGCATACCAGTGATTATAACAATTTACTTATTTATTCATGCAATAAACATCTATTAAGCATCTTCTATGAATTATTCAGTAGAAACTGGACTAGGTATAGACACAAAGATACAAATTAGAAATGGTTCCTCTCCTTAAGAACTTGCAACTGAGCTGTGAGTCTAAGACATGTAAATAAAAGCCTCTAATACAGACCAGAATATGGTGCATCCAGAGAAATTCAAAGTGCTAGGATTTTGGATGAGTAAGAGCTCATTCTCAGTTTTTGAAAGTGTAGGGGTAGGAATTAGAGAAGGCTTCAAGGAGGATGTGGCATCTGATGTAGGCCCAGAGGGAAGGGTAGGATATGATGGGGGAGATGACATTCCAAGTCGCTGGTTAACCAAGTCAATGCTCTCTGGTATTCAGTCTAGCATAATAGCATAACTGATAGAAATAACTGCAAACAATTTTCTAACAATGTATTTTTATTTTCTGCTTCTTCCTCCTGTTGGCAAATGGCAGCTTTGCCATCCCAACTTCAGAATGATATGCTTCATTCTATTGACAAACGGTTTCTATGACTCCTTAGAAATAAAGGTGGCTTCAATTAATATAGATAAAGCACTTTGCAATACTATTAAGCACTAAGCATTGTTAATATGGTGGAAGCATCTCAGAGGATTACACATCCAAAAAATTGTTTCTGCACGCGTTTCCAAAAATGCATTATGTATTATAGAATTTGCTAGTCTTGCCCCCAGGGGATATAAGCAATTGACTTATAAGCATACCCTTAGAGAACAGTCAAAGAGAGAAATAAGGTTCCAAAGAGATCTGCTAGATAGACTCATTTTCACTCTGAATCACTGCGACGTCCACATTTTCCTTGCCCTCACACCATTCTGAATTATATTTCCATGTTTTCATACTGATAACCTAACTAGGCAAATACCTTTCTGAGAAGGAATATTAGAGTTGGGTTAAACTAAAGCAAAATGACCTTGATGAATCATTCCCAGTTCTCATTATCTGAAGGGAGGCACCTTTCCCCACATCTTCCTATTAACTCGCCACTCCTCCCCCCCAGTCTCTTTCTCTCTCTCTTCTTTTCTTTCTCTCTCTCTCCCTCCCTCCTTCCTCTTCTCTCTCTTTCTCCATCTCTCCTTCCTCTTCTCTCTCTCTATCTCTACCTCCCTCAATCCTTTTTCTCCCTCTGTCTCCTTCTCTCCTCCTTCATCTCTCCCTTCCTTCTTCCCTCTCCTAATAACTTGGCTAAGTATGTATAGCCTGTCCTTATTCCTCTCCAGGCTGCACTCTAGACTTCCTCTATGATGCCTTGCTTTTAATTGTGAATCCTCTCTCCGGTCGTGGAATAGACACAGTAGAAGTGCCCTACACCCTTGTGGCCTCTCCCTCCTAGAATCTGCATTTAAGGAGAGCATCCGAGTCAATCATATCTCATTCCTCTCTAGGTTGCATTCTAGACTTCATCTGCCATGCTTGGTACCTTTGCCTCCCTTTACCACTTCTCAGCTTTCTTTTCGTGTTTTGTCTTCCCCCATTAGAATGTAAGTTCCCTGAAGTCAGGGACTTTCTCTTTGTATTTACATTTCAGCTGCTTAGTAGAGTGCTTGGCATGGAGTAAGTGCTTAATGAATGTTTCTTAATTGACTGTCTTGAGAATATGACCTAGAGCAATTGACTTGATGAGTTGGGGAAAATAGTAGTCAAGTATGAAAAGAGTTACTAACATTATATTTGCAACTCTACTGGTACAAAGATCCATTATAACATATCAACTCCAGACTTTTGAGTAACTCAGGATGACCTACTTATCCACACTAGATTATGAGGATTATATTACTATTATTATTATTTGGACACTACAGAAAGGAAGGGGTAATAAACTTATTTGCATTAGAAGGTGGCAAAAATAACTCCCATTATATGAACTTAAAGCTCTTTATTTTCCTTAGGAAGAATAATGACATGCAATTGCCAGAGTGATATTCTGGTTGAATCACAATATCATAATATTACATATTGTTGTTGTTGTTCAGTTGTTTCGGTCGTGTCCTACTCTTTGTGACCCCATTTGGGGTTTTCTTGGCAAAGATACTGGAGTGATTGCCATTTCCATCTCCAGCTCATTTTACAGATGAGGCAACAGAGGTAAACAGAGTTAAGTGACTTGCCACAGGTCAACAGAGGTAGTGTCTGAGGCTGGATTTGAACTCAGGTCTTCCTGACTCCAGATCTAGCACTGTTTCTACTTCACCACCTAGCTGCCCAAATATTATATACTGCATTGTTTATGTTTTATATAAAATTATTTGAATTTATTTATACATTCATTTATTCAATAAAACACTTATTAAGTACCAACTACAGGCAAAACTCTTTCATGGGTACTGGAGGAGATAAGAAATGTAGATAAGCTACAATCCATTTCCTTGAAGAGCTTGTAATTTTTCAGTAGCAGGTAAGCACTGTTTCTTACAGGGCAGTAATATGCCATTACATTCATGTACTACAATTTGTCTAGCCATTCTCCAATCAATGGACATCTAATCTAGTACAACACCAGGCTGCCTCTCATACAATTTATAGAAGTCATTTTGAGGGTTTGTGTGATTATACGTGAGCTAGAAATCTCCTCGAGAGTTTACATGCTTCATAGTCCTTACTAAATTGTTCTCATCTCTCTCAAGCAAAATTGTCTATTTATTTATTGTGGATATGACCCTCAAACATCCTATTGTCTATTGCTGGAAAGACACTGAGTTGAAGAGAGAATTAGTCTTTAACACATTTGGGGGATCAAGTGTCCGATGGTTTTAAAATTAAGAGCACTTCTCGCATTTCTTGTGGAGAAAAGCAGACCGACCACATACTCTAGTATCTGTCAAATTTCCCTAGAAATCTCTGAGCTCCAGCGTCTTTAAAAGAACAAAAAAACCAAATTAAAAATACTTTACAATTTTTTTGGTTGAAAATAAGCTCCTTGAGGGGATGTAATATTAAGAAATATTTGTTAAATTGAATAGCACCTGTAATGCTACAATTATATTCTGAAAAGCTCCCATGTGACCAAATAATCAAAACAAAAAAAGGGTGCTGCTCTAATTTCCCTAAACACAGAGGTAGCACCCCATAGTCACATCTATATAAATGGTAATAATAACTAATAAATCTATATAAATATAAATGGTCAGGGCTGACCATCATGTAAAAAAACAACAAAACAACAACAGTGAACCAAGGGGTATTACACACATTCTTTTTTTCCCCGTTTAGCTTTATTTTTATTCTGAACTTAACAAATACCAAACATTTCCATATGTGCTGTAGAAGAGAAGGAGAGGGTTACACACGAGACTTGTTCTTGTGAAGCTGATTCAAACTAGAGAAGAGAGAGATAAAAAGAGCACAGACTGTACCTGGTGATCTCTGTATCCGGGAGGAGGCCCATGTGGTAGTGGGGGTAGGGAGAGGTAAGGAGGAAGCTTTTGTCACACTCAACTGGTGAGTAGTGCCGAGGAGAGGAAGATTTCTCACATAGTTTGTTCACAGTGCTGTAAACGGGTTCAGGAGGCCTGGTGATAGAAGAAGAAAGGAACAATTCTGTGTGAACAATTTAACAACACACTATGGCCACCATCAACATCCAGTCTTCCTTTAAAGACAAAGAAAAAAGTTAGGACGGTCAGGTGAAGCTAGGGTGAGCCTTGAGATCAGGAGGACCCGGGTCCAAGTGCTCTGATGCACACTAGCTGTACAACCATGAGTAAGTCACTTCTCAGTGACATGGGTGACTCTGTAACAATATAAATCAAAGATCAGTTGTTGCTCTGCATTGGTGGGGGCAGTTTCTATACCAGCAATTCCTCCTACTTATCAAATCACAGGCCTAGACAAAATAAAAAAAGAAAATGGCAAAAGATTCCTTGATCTTCTCAGTATTTCTTTCAGAAAACAAGTGCCTCTGTTACATACACTTTAGCTGACATTGGGAATCACTGTAACATTCTACTTGCCCACAAATGCGCAAATGTGATTACATGATGAAGGAGGAGAATAGAAACTATAAAATAAAATGATCTCTAGGTAAAGGAAATGGGCCTATTTAGATTAGAGAGGAGAGCTTTGTGGAAAGAGACATGAATGGTATTATTCAACTATCTGAGAGATTGCCAGGGGGCAGCTAGGGTGGCTCAGTGGCTATAGCCTGGATTCAGGAGGACTCATCTTCGTGAGTTCAAATCCAGTTTTAGACACGTTCTAGCTGTGTGACCCTGGGCAAGTCACTTAACCCTGTTTGCCTCAATTCCTCATCTGTAAATGAGCTGGAGAAGGAAATGACAAACTACTCCAGTATCTCTGCCAAGAAAACCCCAAATGGGATTACAGAGAGTCGGACACAACTGAAAAATGATTTAACAACAAGAACATGTGGGAATAGGATTAGATTTGTCTGCTTGCCCCCAGAGGGCCAGAGTATGAGCCACAGGTGGAAGCTACAGAGGGACAGAGATTTGTCCAGATAAAAGGAAACAATTTCCTAACAATGATAACTGTCCAAAGGTGGGATGGATTGTCTTGGAAGATGGTGGGTTGGCTCTCCCTGGAGATTTTCAAGCAGGAACTAAACAATAATTTGTGGAGGATGTGAAAAGTTAGAGAATTATATCTATAGCGATGGAAGGGACTTCAGAGGTCATTCAGTCCAATATCGTCATTTTACAAATGAGGAAACTGAACCTCCCTCTTTTCTCAAAGGTGAGATGATTTATCCAAATCCACACAGGCAGCAGAAGAGATAGAAATCAATCCAGATCTTTTGAGATACATGGTAGGGACACTTTTTGTCCAGATTGGACTGGATTGACTCTGAGGTCTCTTCTAACTTGGAGATTATGTGATTCTCCTTATCCTATTTATATCTTATCTACACCAATACAAAAGATGAAGGTGTACAGTAACAAAATTAAAAAAAAAACATTTTAAGTGTATATTATTGTGCATCGTGTTAGGTGCCCAGGATCCAAAGATAAAAAAAAAATTACACAAACCCTGCCCTCAAGAAACCTGGAATCAAATAGGCAGATGTAGCAGTGTGTGTGTGTGTGTGTGTGTGTGTGTGTGTGTGTGCATATACACATATGCACACACATGACCCTATGATACAAAGTAGAATGTAACGGTAACCAAGAAAAGATCCAAAGAGCTCTAGGAAAATGTTAGGAGGAAAATATTATATTTAGGTCAGGGAAATAGGGCAGGCTTCATAGAGGAAACATTGCTAAGCTGTGTCTTTAAAAAACAACATTTCAATAGGCAGACACAAAGATAGAGCGTGTTCAAGACATGCAAGTTGGCTATGTAGATATGTGGAAATGGAAATGTGCAACATGAGAGCATTTTTCCAAATCACAGCATCTCAGAACTGGGACCATTCTTAGGGATTATCTACCAGAGGTTTCTTAACCTGGGGTACGTGACTTTTCAAAAAATTGATAATTGTTTTTCAACATACTTGGTTTCCTGTGCATTTTGTTTAATGCATTTAAAATATTACTGAGAAAGAATTCAGTCTTCATCAGACTGCCAAAGGGGCACATGATACAAAAAAAGGTTAAGAACTTCTGAATTCCAAGCCAATCACTTCATTTCATGGGTGAGAAGGCAGAGATCCAGTGAGGGAAAGAGATTTAAGCAAAGTCACTCATTGAATGGGAGGTTGAATTAGGACCAGAACATGAGTCTTCTAATTCCTATTCCAGAGCTCTGTTCATTACATTGTAACATCTACTATTGAAACTTCAGATTGGTTCAAAATGTCACTTTTAGACAATACTAGCTTAAAAATATAGGAAGAGTATGATTTGAAGGGTATAAAAATGCTCCAGCCAGTCGGTAAGTTAATAAGCTTTTATTAAGCACCCACCATATGTCAGGTACTCTACAAGTGCTGGGGATACAAAGAAAATCTGGGACACAGTCCAGGCAGATCTGAATGAGAAGAGGAAGAAGGGAGAAGTGTCTGAATATTGGTTATTATTCAAAGAAGGTAGAATCAATTAGGGCACCTGCACGGGGGACCTGGAGGATGAAGAGCATGAAGAAAACAGATACTGAAATAGAGATTCAGAGATTCCTTTGAACACACATGTACTGAGTACCTTAAATGCATAAAGCACTCTGCTAGGTACCAACAAGGAGGTAGGTAGGTAAAGGCAGCTGGAGGAAAACTGAAAACTCTAACTCAGTCTAATAGGTGGTTAGTTAATAAATGCTTGTTGATTTAATTTATTATTATTTGCTTAGTACAGTGTCTTACAAATAGCAAGTGCTTAATAAACTCTTTATCTACCATTTATCTATCCATCATCTATCATTATTTTTATGTTTATGGTGTTCAGAAAAAGTCTTTGGACAAGTTGTTGTTGGCACTGTTGTTATTAATATTACATTGTTATTATTATTATTATTAGTCAGACTTATAATTTCATCGGTGTAAGGAATTTCTAGTGCATAAACTTCCTCTACTAATGCACATTATCAATTCCTGTAACTTACATAGTATTGTTAAAAATAAGGTGTTTTTCTTCAGTAAACAAAAATCTGTCTCAATCCCAGGCCTTCTGACTCCAAGTCAGTTTCTTTCCAAGACACGAAGCTCTGGTCATCAGTACAACTAAAGGAGAGGTGCAATGACGGAAGCCTGAGACAGCCTTTAATTGTCACTTCCCCATTTTGGAAGCTGATTCACTACTGACAGGAACCATATGTACAGGCCAAATTCAAAGACAGTAGGATGGGATAGAGAAATTCAGTCTTTATTAAGGAAACCAGATCTTCTCACTCAAGGCCTGGACACTCTTACCACATAATCTCAGTGGACTTCCAGCCTTACACAGGCAATAATTCACAAGCAGCAGCTGCCAAACAAACCAGCCAGCCTCGGCTGGAAGAAAATGAACTGCACAGCCATTCTTTGCAAATCTCTCCAGTAGCACTGAGAGGTGATTCAGATGGACAGAAGGGAATCTAAAAGGCAATATCTGCCCAATGGAATGAACTTCCAGGCTTTTGGTGAAGGTCTTAAAGACTTTCATTCTTAAAGCGTTTCAGGAAGCCAATTTTCCCTGCATGTAAGGCTTGAGTTAGTTTTCTTCATCCAGTATTGGCAATGACAGTCCCAGAGAACAATGTGACCAAGTTTTCTAACCAGAATATACCCATGGCGCTCACAGGCAAATGATGTGAAAGGATTTCAATGATGCAGCCCCCATCAGAGAAGAGACAGGCAGACAAAGAGAAAGAGAGACAGAAACAGAGGGGGGAGAGAAGGAGGAAGAAAGTGGGAGGGAGAGAGAGGAAAGATGAAATGTAGAAGGAAGAAAGGAAGGAGGAAGAGAGGAGAAAATGGGAGGCCAGGAAAGAAGGAAGGGTAAAGAGTAGAGCTAATTAAAAGCAATTTAAAAAATCTACCACATTTATGATGCATGATATAGAAGCATGGCTCTAAATGAGAGCTCTCATCCCCCTTCATGTCCCCTGTTCAGGGAATTATTGAGGAGTAGGATAAGGGAAATAAGAATTAAGGCATCCATTCTTTCATTCATGTCACAAGTGTCTATTGTTGTTGTTTGCTTGTTTGTCCTTCATTTTCAAAGAGGACCAATGACATCACAGTGTAATGTTCTGACTTTCATTTGAACTGGATTTAGATGAGGCATAATTGCACAAAGTCATCAGCTTCACTCTCTCTACCAAAGTCATCAAAGTCCAGCGGCAGGGTGAAAGTCACAACTACTGGTGATGGCTTGGTATGCAGTGGATGACCTTGGCATCTTCAATGTCTGACTGAGCTCCTAGCACTCCACAGTCCCTGCTGCAGCCACCTTCACAGCCAGTGGAACAAATTGTTCTCATCTGCCCATTCCACTGGGTGAAGTCTTCATATGCTTGGGGTAGACACCCTTCTAACTCACCAGTGGGTTTGAAGCCTCTTAGTTGTCCTTGACCTGGTTTAGCCCTTCTGCTGAGACAGTTTTACCAAGGTGTGGCTGCTGCCCATGCTACAGCTTTTTGAGCCACAGGTGACAAGTAGACACCAAAGGTGGATGAGCAGCCCTGAAAAGGGCTTAGCAAGCCCTCACACCTGAGATGCTACTCCTCCTTTTCACTCCACTGTACTGTTTCTCTTATGTAAGTTAATTCTGACTTGAAACCAAAAACTCTTCTTGTCCTGCATGGGGTACTACAATAATTCAGGGAGGTCTAAAATATTCCTCTGATTCTGATTCTCTCCCCTCCTTCACCCATCCCTTCCCTTTGTGCCCTGCTTCTCTCTCCTCCATACCTTGCTTTTCCCTCTATACCCTCTTTTCCTGCACTCTCTCTCTTCCTTCCTTCTTTCTGTGTCCCAGTCTCTCTATCTCTGTCTCTCTGTCTGTTTCCTTCTCATCCCCCACCCCCAACCTCAAAAGACAAATACATGCTGCTGAAAATTATGAGACTTTCATCTCCTTCTCCCTCTGGAAGCATTTTAAGGAAACACTATTATTTCATACTCTGCAGATTTAGTAAA